CTTTTAATATCATGTTAGATGTAACTGAATATCCAAAAACTTCAGTGCACCGATTCGCATTAAACCACAATATGAATAAAAGCTCAGTCCAAAAAATACTGTTGCGTTGAAAGGGTATTTAAAATCAACGTGAGTAAAACTCAACAATTTATTTCTCAAGATCTCTTGAATAAGATAAAAATATCAACATCTCCAGGGCTTGATCTTCTCTCACCGCTACTACTCAAAAGTTGCTCTGGATCCTTGTCATTACCTCTGACTTCAAAAATCTTTTAATGAGGGTTGTTTGCCAGATGTTTGGAAAACCGCTTCAGTCACTCCTATATTTAAGAAAGGTGATAAACTTGACGTTAATAATTATAGACCCATTAGTTTAACCCCTATTGTTACCAGGCACGTAACCAAGGGGGGGCCTAGGGGACACAGGCCACCCCAGTAAAATCCTGTGCCACCCCTGGTGCCCCCTTAAATTAATTTTAAATTTTAAAAGTAAAGCAAATTCGAAATTTCAGATCAACAGTAAATTTTAGCTATGAGTAATCTTATGATCCTATCTTGTAATATAACTCTCTGAGTAAAGCGATACTGCTGTGAACAGTTTTGTCGATAACTTTTTTAAGCAATTAGCCGATACAATTGATATGCCTTTTACACACTATGCATATTGGCACGCAGGCTTTAAATGAATTCTCATGGTGTTAGTCAATTTCAACTATTTGCACCCCATTAAGTTTATATAGATACTGGTTGTGATCCAAGTAAAATGTTGATTTATAATGAAGACTTTTTTTAAAGGCCCCCTTATTTGAAATTAGTGTCTGGACTGGGCCCCTCCAAAATAAAAGGCTGGTTACGTGCCTGTTTGTTACTAAAACTATGGAACGCATAATTGTTACTAACATGTATAGATTTTGCGCTCAACATAATATAATACCTAAAAAGTAAACATGGATTTATGCCAGGCAGATCAGTCGTTACTAATCTTTTAATCTGCATTAATGATTGGACCCTTGCTCTCAACCATAATCATCCGATGTCATATATTTAGATTTCTCGAAAGCATTTGATAAAGTCCCACATGCTGCTTTGCTGCTTAAGCTTGATCATACTGGCTTCCGTGGCCAATTTTTATCCTGGATTAAAGCATACCTTTTCTGATCGTAAATTTTGTGTACATGTTGGGGATCATTTCTCAGATTTTACTGCGGTTTCTAGTGGTGTCCCACAAGGGTCCGTCCTTGGACCATTACTATTTCTAATTTATGTTGCCGACCTTCCTCTGCACGTTAAATGCAAAATTTCTTCTTTTGCGGACGATAGTAAATTATGTGGTAATCCACTTTCCGATTATGCACGGTGCAAAACGATCTCGATCAGATCTCCCTCTGGTGCGCTAGTTGGCAGTTGCCACTAAATGAGACTAAATGCTTGGTCCTACATTTGGGAAAAAATAATCCTAAATTGAATTATACCATTAATTCTGTAATTTTAACCAGTTCCGATTCTTATTGTGATTTAGGTGTCACTATCTCTCATGATATGTCATGGTCACTACATATAACTTCAATATGTAAGAAAGCAAGATCAATGCTATTTCTAATCTCAAAGGCCTTTAAAACACTATCCCCATCCGCATTTCTTCGCTTTTTCTGTCAATATTGTCGTCCACTTCTTGAATATGGATGCATAGATTGGAGTGTAGATTGGATCAAAGATCTCAACCTTATTGAATCCGTTCAGAGATAGCAACGAGAATTCCTTATGGCTACCACCGTCCATCTTACGAAGATCGACTCTCTAACCTAGGTATCCTAAGTCTTGCAGATCGTCGTAATAGAGGTGATTTAATTTATATGTATCGTATACTTCACGCAAATTTTAATTGCGATCTTTCTTATATGTTACCTTTGAACCGTGACGTAAGGCTAAGAGGTCATGCGTTTAAACTAGCTAAGCAAAGTGTTAAGATAAAATGCCGCCAAAACTTTTTTGCAAATCGATCCTTCGACGCATGGAACGGTTTACCTTCTTCTGCTGTCACTGCACAGACTCTGTCATCTTTTAAGAAAGAAATCGACACAATTCTTTTTCAATATTGAACAGAAATCTGTCTACCAATTTTATACATATCACCGGATAATAGACTATTATAACATTGGGCTCATAGAAATTAATTTTTCTTGCCTAATTTTTTGTTAACTTATAATAATAATAATAATAATACTCAAATTTACACGACTAACTATTACAGCGATTATGTACAGAATAACTCCGTGGTGCAACTTGAATGAATTCGTTCATTGAATTCGACTCGCTGACTCAGTGAATCTCATTCCCGAAGATGACCTCTCTTTAAATTCATTTTTCCCTTCTAGATGTTTCGCAATCGAGGTCTTTCTGGAATACCCATGGTGACTTCCGCTTCCAGGCTTTTATTTAGCGAATGCCGCCCGGCCACACTCACCGACCATGAGTCACTCATCATCGCCGTACATAGTAGAACCCATAGGCGTCGTACCGGAGCGGTGTATGGGTTTCTTTCGTAACAACATCCAAAAGTCATTTACTACGAGAATTAAGTGAGGATGCTTTTGACCGCAGAATCGAATTTTGCGAAATAATAGCAAACAGAGTAGATCAGGATAACAACTTCATAAACCAGTTATTATTTTCTGAGGAGTCTACTTTTTGTTTGAATCGTTATGTTAATCACCATAACTGTAGATAGTAGTCTAATACAAACCCTCATTGGATCGAGGAGGTTACTCCCAAAAAATTAATGTTTGTTGCGGCTTTATTGGTCGCCACATTATAGATTCCTTCTTCATTAAAGGTAATTTAACGTCTGACAAATACCTCCAACTTTTGCAACAAAGTTTTATTCCTCTACTTGGACAAATATATCCCAACTATGGAAAAGCATATTTACCTGCAGAGTCCATCTTGTTCCAACAAGATGGAGCACACCCTCACTTCGGACATCAAGTACGACATTACTTGAATGAAACTTTTCCTGGTAGTTGAATGGTCAGCTAGGTCACCCAATTTAACCCCACTTGCGTTTTTCTGTAGGGTTATGTAAAAAATTGAGTTTGTGTTAACAGACCACAAAGCATCGGCGAACTCCAAGAAAGAATATTAAATGTGATTGCTGATATTGTACTCCCAGTTTAAAGTGGTTTTTATGACAGGTCCATTGTGTCGAAGTTGATGATGGGGACAATGGAGTAAATCCCTAGCCATAAATAAGAAAGTGATCGGTTTCTTGCAAGGGCCGTACTTTGTTATTCAACTTATATTGTCCGTCGTGGGGTGATAATAATGAGGTGATAATGTTTATTATCTTGTCATAAAAACCACTTTAAACTGGGAGTACAATATACCTCCTAATATTCTAACAGGTTCATTTGAAAACTTTGTGCAACGTATTTACTATTCTAGGAAGCAAATTGTTAATATTTCGAACATTTGTTCTAAAATTATTGATTTTTAAATTTAATTTGAGCTTTTTTCAATAATGTATTTTTTTATTTAAATGTTTCCAAAAGCTATCATAACAATGTATTCATTATTTACAATCATTAAATCGGAGTGTTGTTATTTCTATAATATTTTGTAAATTATTTGGAAACAGCATTTAAATCAATTTGTTACGCTGGCACCTTTCTTTCAGTTTATGTACACTCAGTTTTATCGGTTTTACAATGATTGGGCGCTAGTATAATTTTTGAATAAAGTGTCCTACGCCAGGACTCTGACAGGTGATAGATAGTATTGTTAAAGATAGCTACGATTTTCTGAATTTCAATATTTTTATTTTGACCGTTTATTTTACCATATTGAAAAAAAAAATAATAATGCGTACGTTACATTTCTGAATTCAGAAAATATGTACTGTAAACGTAGGTCAGTTGTATGTTAGAAGATGAAGCGTAACTGCTGAAACCCGTCCAAAGTACAGTTTGCGTTAGTGTCAGGATACTTACAGAGTTATTGTTCAGAAAAAATCTATACTGTCTTCACATTTTACAGGTTTATGAATCTGTTGATTCATACTAATAACACACTAAAGAACTCTTTTAACGGATAGTTTAAATGTTAACCATCTATCGTTTTCAAATTTTAACTGAGAAAAATTTCCTAAACCCCCATGGTATTATTTTCAGGCGTTATGGTGTACATTGGCAGAAAATTCTCATTTCAAATTCATCCTTTTTATAATTTACCAAATGAGATTTGTAATGGTTTTTTACCACCGCGATTAATTTTTTTGTATGGTCCACTTTGAGTTTTATACGTTATACAAGTGCGAAATATTGCATCAAATAAGTGCAAAGTATCATTAACGAACTCATTAAATGAAAATTGCTGTAGTCTGAATACGTTGTAATTGTATGAAAGCAGAATTGCATGAACGTTACCCACAACTTCTTTTAGTTAACGAAACACAACCTTAATTAAAAACGTCAAATTGTTTTTTGAGATTAACCTTCACACGGCATGTTTTAAAGCCAGGACAATGCTTTTGTCTTGAAATATTATCACCACTTTGTTTATATAAGCATAATAAAATCAGAGATTTCCCCAAGCTTTACTGAAATCCGATTATTAACAAGGATGCGGTAATCTTTAACATACCCACCCAGATAACTCGCTGAGAGTTGATAAGGGACCAATAATCTTCTACTCAGTACCTATTGATGGCATAATTTGCATAAAGACTTTATTTAAAGATGTGTTTTTAAAAATCTGTGTGGTTGAATACTTACGTTTGTCAGTGTTAAACCCACATATTAACAACTATTCCAGACTCAACGACAATCTTTATTGTTAGTATTTTTCCCGTAGGACCCTCATGTATCTAATTAGTACAATTAGTACAGTTAATGTATATTATACCCCATTGTTGTATGATTAAATGTAATACCAAACACACACTGAACAAAACTTTCTTTTGTTATGTAACTCAGTCTAATCTAAAATATAAATTACCTTTACAGAACAGTGGTATCAACAATAAATACGGGATCAGGAAGAGACAGATCTACAGGGTCCAAAAAAGAACGAAAAGCAACGGCGGCGGCCCGATTTACCATATATAAAGTTAACAAGGCCAGCCGCAAAAAGCGGGAGAAATCATCCGCCAAGAAAGAGAGAAAAGCCACGAAAACATTAGCTATTGTCCTGGGTAAGTGAAACGTTCTGCCGCATCCATTTTATAAATAAATAAAGCTCTGTATTATACTAATTTTTCTGTCGTTTTGTATCGATTCGTGAAAAGAACCCAAACTAAAAAAGGGAAAGTCTTTTTGAAAGGAAATCTTCATGAACTGATCACACAAAAAAGTTCGCACTCGACGATTCAAAGGAAAAAGTTGTTCTCTACCGATGTCGATTTCGAATAACGAGAGCACTCAACAGCAAGGAAACATTTTGTAATATTTCAGTAAATTCTGGAACGATGGAGGTTTTAATTCTGATCGGAATGACAAAAATCGAAGGGGAAACTTTGTCGCACCAAACCGCGCTTTAATTAAATCAATTAACACCGATCCGGAGCAGATTAAAAAATTACCGGGGGAGTTACGTTCCAGCATTCGCATCCTACCACTCAGTAGCTTCCTTTCGTAAAATACCGAGCAACAAATATCGGAACGAAATTGGTCCTTCGTAATTTTTTTTATCATCGATTGTAGGATTGTGTTGAGGCTTTAAAATTTTTTTCTTTTGTAAGCACCAACTGTTTTGCCACAGTAAACAGTCAAATATGCTACACAGGCGGTTTAAATTCGAATTAAAATTTAATGTGCTATTAACTGGTAAATACTAGTAAAAGCATTTGATTGGTTGAATTTAATCACGTGATTAAATTAATGACATGATTAAGTGCTTCTGTAAGTCATGTTTGCCTTTAATTTTGAACTTTCCAAATCTAGTTGTTGTTTTTACAGGCACCACAGTTATTTCGTTCCGGGTTTTGAAAATTATGAAAGTGTAGTTTAACGTAATATTTTTAGGGTCCTGTGTTATAAAAACAACCACCCGGAGGCAGACACTAGTCCTCATCAAACTCAGTTCTGCTTTACCCAGTGTATGTTAGTTTTTATTTTGTAGGTGTTTGGACGATGTATCTTGTTAAACATTTATCGTTTTCAGGAAAGTAACTAATATTTCATCCATATTTAATAACTAAGGTCAGTAAAGTGATCTATTGTGGTATGTATGTTTAAGTATGTTAATTTCGCAAAACAAAATAAAACAATGTAGCCGTTTTAATTCAGCTGTTTATTAACGTAAAATTTAAACACGCAATTTGTTTGCATACAATTTTCACCACCACAGAATTGGCAATAGTTTTATTGTCGCTTGTTACCGCTAGCTTTTGAAGTAAAACTACATTCAAAAGAGCCAAGTAATTGTTTTAAAACTATCTACGTGTAAAATGTTGCTGGCTAAATTCTTTTTGTAGCAATACATTCCTTAAATGACTTATCTTTCAGCTACTGCATCCAGTCATCATCACGGCGGTTTATATCTAGATAAAACCTTTATCGTATTGTTTTCTGGTAACGTAGCGGAAATACATTGGATTGTCCAATTTTAAAAATCGAGACGAATTTTTCTCAACAAGCTGTTTCACACATTCTTTTCTTGTTGACACCTTCTAGTCCAAGCATAGTTTAAATGTAAGGACAGATAATCAATTGTTCGCCCCATCTTTACGTAACTGTGAAGTTTCCAGGATTCCTATATGCGACGTGCCCGAACTAGATATTTCCATTATCATCACTAAATATAAAAAAAGTGTTTTAATTTTTTGGAAAAAATTAGTACAATATTCATTTACGTTTCACTACTTTCCATTATTTAGGACGATAGCCTTCACCTTTTTTTAGAAAAGTCACTAGCTCCACATATATTGCTTGATATATGAAACTAGTTGGTAAGATTTATGGTGCTATTTAGCATTGAACACTGATCCCATTGACCCCCTCGTGATCCGCTGAGACTAATCGCCTTCCAAAGTAGGCCAGGACAACGTTCTCCCAGACATAATTGACAATTTTACCACGAAGCATTTTTTAATTTTTTAACATAAGATATAAACTTTCTTAGATCTTTCGAACAAAAGCTGCAATTTTTGAAATCTATGTTGTCACGCTGTAATCTTGATCAAATTTAATTTAAAAACTCGAATAACCGTTTATAATAACGTTTTATTTTATTTTTATTTTATACTACTATTACACCCACTTTTCAATCATTCTTCTCCTACGCTCAGCTGATATTTGAAACACGTGACATTACTTTCTTGACAACACATACAACTGGTTTTCCTAGAGTTACCTATTTAGACTAGTTACTGTAATTCTGCAATATGACAAAAACAAAAGATAGGTCTAACAATGATCTTAAACAAAGTAACTGGATAGTAACACTCGATTTATTATGATGGTGTAGTGGCAAATTAAAAGTTTGAGGCTCGAGAAAATAGCAAACGTGCTACCGAGGACGTTGTAACGAGAGCAGAAGTTCCTCGTCGCCGTCTGCCACCCTTTCCCCATGATTTTACTGTATTGACAGGTATAACATACACACCACATCTCTATACCCAAAAAACCTGCCGCATATTATAGGCTATACCCTATCTTCGCGAAACAGATAGTTATTTTCAAACTGCGTCTTTCACGTGTACGCAAATCTCCCCATTAATAAATAGAAATTTGTTAGGACAAATGATATAAGAGAAAAACAGCTTTACTAGAAACCGTGTGTTCCACTTTCGCCACGCGATATTGTGCTTTTATTTCAACAAAAATTCAAATCCAGTGTGGCGGCACAATAACACGCGGGTAAAGCAGAGTAAAGATAAGTCGTCTCGTAGTGTAGCGGTTAGCATACCAGCCCGGATTGCTTGGAGACGTGGGTTCGAATCCCACCGAGGCACAACATTTTTCTCTGCTTTCCCACATTGGTGACCTCCGACAGGCAACGCGCACTCAACATCCTTCTGCCACCGCCCTGTGCCCGCTGTGTTCGGGGTCCGCAGCACCGCCAGGGTTCGAACGACGAACGTAAGAGTGGCAGGAGCGACGCCAGCAACTATCTCCTTCGCACTCCAGCACGACCGCGCGCTGTGTCGCTGGGGGGGGAGTACTGTGGCGGCACAATAACACGCGGGTAAAGCAGAGTAAAGATAAGTCGTCTCGTAGTGTAGCGGTTAGCATACCAGCCCGGATTGCTTGGAGACGTGGGTTCGAATCCCACCGAGGCACAACATTTTTCTCTGCTTTCCCACACCAGTATTTCTCGAACTTAGAACGATAACTGGATGAATTACCACCACGGAAGCAACCAATATTTAATTACTCCAGTCTATCAAGAATGTCAAACAACAATTAATTTACATGATATTCAAGTTTCTGATTAAATGAATAAGGTCACAAAAAGTACATCGCGGACAGAAATCCCATACCACATAAAACAAAGCACATACGTAATACGGTCAAAATCAAAATAAGGGGAATAAATGTTCAAATTCATTTCGAATCCGCAATGATATTAATTTAAGTGATAATAAATTTCAAAGTTCTTGTTTAAAATCGATTAGTGTCCGAGATTAATATAACTGATATAAACAGATTTAATTGACTTCGCTCAAATCCATCAATCCAACATATAAATTAATTATAAATAATATGAAATTTGCAAGTAAATCGAAGGACGCATTCCGTGTCGTAATTTTATGTAATGAAGCTAGGGCTTTGTTTTGTGTTACAGGAGTGTTCCTCATATGTTGGGTGCCATTCTTCACATGCAATATCATGGACGCGATGTGCAGTAAGCTCAATTTGCCCTGTCAGCCGGGGGTGGCGGCATTCCTTCTCACCACTTGGTTAGGATACATGAACAGTTTTGTAAATCCAGTCATATATACTATATTCAATCCGGAGTTTAGGAAAGCCTTTAAGAAATTAATGTTCCTCGGGCCTTAATTTAATTCTTAGGTTTGTAAGTAGTTAGTATGTTCAGTTCGAACTCTTTTATATATAAAGATTTCTCTTGCTCAATGTACATAAACGATGTTCAAGAACATGTATTCCGGTAATCCCATATTGAATTTGTTTGCAGTTTTCTTTGCTCAAGCTTCAGCATTATTATTATCCTGTACCTGACGACTCAGCGATTTAATTTCTCAGTGTTTCTCTCATTCATCGTTCGTTAGGCGAATAAGAAGATATTCCGAATTTATTATAGACATATCATCAATTTTAATTGAAGTATTCAAAGCCCACGCAAAAACGAGCTTCAATCATTGATAATAATTAGTGTTTTTGTAAACGTTGGCTCCCTTTCAACGGAGTCAATCAAGTACTTTCATTCCAAATATATTCTGTGATCGCTCTAAAATTAGTCTAGATTAATTTTAAAGGAACGTTTGATATTGTTGAGTTTCTCGTTTTGTAAATACCAGATTTTACAGCTGCTGTAGAACAATATCATTAATATCGCGCAGCATCAGGACGAAACCGCGAGCGACGATTATGCAACCAACATCTCAAGCAAGCGTTCAAACTGTTTCACCCTGATGTAGTGTTAACTCTAATCGACATTGATATTACGTTGATATTTCTGTGTACATAGATGTATATAATAAAATTGCAAATAATTTCGGTGGTACATTTTAAATATAAAATCAGTATTAGCTCTTAACTTGCAGTAATATGTCCTGTGTGAGCCAAAGCAATATTTGTAAAAGTGTGTGTGTTTGCAGCCGTCGCTACAGGCACACTCTTTGAGCCCCATTTTTACAAAAATTTGCTCTGATACTTCCATCCCTTGTAAAATCAAAGACCTTACGCTTATTATCATAATACTGTAATATAGGATGTATTATAACTAGGTGCATTGCGATGGACATATATCTACTGTTAAAATAAAGCTATTTCTTATAGGTCAAGTGTTTTATAAACTCTTAACCCATATAATCCAATTTCCCGACAGTGCACCACAAAATTATACATCCAAAATCGTGCCCATTTTTGAAGAATATGAGGTAAGTATAAAAATTTTGTCCTAAAACTTAATATTTTAGTTTAGTTAAATTCTAATTTAATTAAGTACATAAATAAAAGTATTAAATAAATTACAAAAAACCTATTTGTAAACAATTAACAAATTCAATAATTTTTGAATACCGTTTTCGAAAAATTATTATTTCAGCGATACTGAACTAAATAATCTACTGAAAATTTGCAGTGATTAAATAAATCGAATGAACAAAAAATTAAAGTTTATGTAAAACCGTTAAAACTTATTGCGAAACTTCTTAAAGAGGTCGAAATTGGAATTAAATTCAACTAACAATAAACCAGTAAGATTCAGTGTCTTACAAAAACTAATCAAGGAGTCGTAGAACAACTTTAACAACTCGTAACGACTTGGATGGTATTACACAAATTTTTGCTTTCTTTGTATTTGCTTTATAAATTCTCCAATTCTCCGTACATTAAACAAGTTCTCTATAGTCGTTCTAGATGACATCAAACAAAAGTTTCTGATGACATAAATTGGCTGAAACAGAATTAAAAACTTTCAAATTTTTCTCTAGGGTGTGCGTACAAATTATACGAGGTGGCTAAAAATTATGTGAGTTGTAATTATTTTTTATTTTATTTTTTTATTCAATTTCTAACTTTTTATTTTCCGAGCGTTAGGTCTCCCGTTTCTGTCTGTCTGTCTACTGTATGTCGTCTCTCTCGATATTTAGTAGACAATTAATCTCCAAAATTATCGGACCGATTGTTATTAAATGTTGTATGTATTTTAGAAATATCGTGTAGATGGTAAAATTAAGCAAAATTTATTTGCTCATCCCCACTAACAACTTGATGACGTCACCTTAAAATTTTTCACGGTAAATGCTATTTAAATTTTTCAAAATAACATGTACCTGTAGTTGTGGTTAATGAATAATGAATCCACCTAGAGTGTTTATCCTAGGTATCTATATCTAAATTAATTAATAACATTTTAAGAGTATAAGAGAAACACAGAACAATAGCCGATTAGCTCAATTGGTAAAGCGAATGTCGGTCTTTGAGTCAAATATCCAATTACTCTCAAAATGACAGCAACACAAAAAATTGTTTAGCCTATTCGAGCGCATGTTCGCACACTGCATTTGTACATAAATTGTTAATACCTTTGGCAATTACATTAAACAGTGTACCTACCGGTAGATGTTAACTGAAGCTCTATTTGGACAGGACAAACAAGACTCGGTGGAAAATCATTTTACATTTGCCAGGTAAGTTGCATATCAAATAAACCTTCCAAGCCACAAACAATTATTTTAAAAATTTGGATGTAGTTATAATGTCATTAATAAAGTACAACATAAAACCCACAACTTAATCATGGTTGTCAAAAGCAAAAGCAATTTGCAAAAAAAAAACTCTTTCTAAAACTAGACATGCAACCGTAACAAATAAATGGCATATAGGCCGACGATAATTTACGAGCAAACGTTGTGCCACATCGATCCACCTTTGCATTTATTTCCTATGCGCGAACGAATGTTAATTTCTGTTCCGTCTGGTAGCGAAAAAACGATTCATTTTCCCTATTCCGGAGAAGTGTTCAATTTTTCCCCACATTTACTAAAATTAAGCTGTAGCGTATTATACGGATTATTTGTTATTCATTTTATGATCTGCGACATAAAGCCGTCGTCTGGGCTGGCTAAAAACATAATGAAGGATATGTACCCTGATTTCAATTACGTTTTATAAAATTGGAAGTATAGTCCCAAAAAAGAACATAAATTGAAATAACGAATTTGAGTAAAAAAGATATCTCAGTAGTTATAAACGTTGTTATTAAAAAACTGTAAACTTTTGGTTATTGGAGTTACTTTTATACCGCTTACATGGTCCTTTGAAGCACTAAAAATTAATTTGTATATTAACACAGAGGGTATTCTATAAAAGAATATGAGCCATTCTATAATGTATTCTGTGATTTCTGTGTGTTGAAAAAATCAGTACTTTCATAGTGATTACGACATCATCGATAGATTGACCTAATCAGTTTTTCTTCTTGCGTTATAAGAACAGTTTCAACTTTTTTCATACTTAACGTGTTAATGACTATTGAAAACGATGGCATCAATAAAGAGATAGTTTATCGTTCCGATTCATATTACTTTCATCATTGTAATTGGTTTTATGAAGTTAATTCATTACAGTGGAAGCTAGGATGTGAAATACAACTTGTTAATACAATTAATTACCTTAACCTGCTCCCGAACCTCAGAAAACGTATTTAAATCTTAATAAGAGTAGCCGTACATAAAGTCCTGTACAAAAAAAAAAAAAACGAAGATGCTTAAAACAAGAATCAAACAAACATGGAAATATAGACCAAAATTTAAATTCACTTTATCTGTTTAAAGGAGAGTTGATGACGTAAGTTGAGGAAGATGGTGACGCGGAAAATGTTACTGTTTGGAAAGGACGTCCTCGTAAAAACATTACGTAATTGCCCTTCTAGTGTGATTTATTTACTAATAATTTATAATTTATACCCTTAATATCACTATACTTTATTAGCCTGACACCTTGTGGTCCATTTGTTGATGGACCCCTTTGGTACCATTAAGATCTAATAATACAGATTGCATATTATGGAACGAAAGTAATCATAACCAAACAAATGTTAACATATGCAAATCACGTTGATATTAATTAAATTTTTTTCCTAAATTACTGAACATTTAACAACATATTGTCATTGTAACTACTTATCATAGGTGGTCTGCTTTTTCACCACAGAAAATTTTGTTGAAAATTTTAGTTTTTGTTTCAAAATAACGGATATCGAATATGAATGACCTTTAATAAATACCGACTTGCCCAACAGTTGTTAACCCATTTATAGGACAATATGAATAGGAAAAGATACTATACATATATATAAACTGATAAATAGCTGCATAATATAAACTACAAAAAAACATACACACACTAAAAAATCAAATGTATATATATGATGTGAAATATTAAAAAATAATTTTAAAAATACTTTTCCATCATTAAAAAAACAAGTTTTCACGGTAACAGTTTCTAAAACATTCTGGTCAAAAGCAGCACTAAACTTTTTCTCAAAAAATTCAGCTTCAATGTCCATATTAATTACACACACAATTCTCATAATTTTATTTAAATATTTCCACCTCACATAAATTTAGTAGAAACTTTTAAAAATGTAGGTATCTTATGAATTTTGATGTTCACGTGTGTAACAAATTTTCTTATTAAAATTCACTTAAGCGTTTAATTAAATTATTACGTTAAGCTTATAACAGTTAAATAATAATTAAAACGTCATACTTAGATGTTTAACACACAAAATGAATCATTTGGTTCAAAACACATTATCAGTTTGGTACAAACAATTAATTTTATTCACGACAAGATAACAAATTTTGTTGAGATACAGAGGCACTTTTTTGAACTCAAATAGTTTTTAGCCCTCTAACATACGATTTCTTTCTTTTTGCTGTTGCCAGTTGAAAACTTGTAAGCGTTCACTATAGCATAAAACTAGCAATTACCCAAATATGCGTAAAAGCGTAATACTGCTTGGCTTAATTGCTACACATCTTGCGGTAATTTTTACGAGTTCGTCAGGTTGGGCTGCAGTAAACCTGATTGCCTGGGAAGGCCTATTTTAACAGAAACAAATAAAAATGGTTTCAATATGCACATTGCTACGTAACTCTTTGTGTAAATTGTTGCCTGTGTTTATTGAAGTCAAAGTCATAAACGCTTAATATCTTTCGTCGAACTTTACACAAATATACCTATCATTTTTCACAAACTTAATTGAAGTTATCGTTTTTTTTTTAAGTTTCCTCGGTTCTCGACAACAACATTCGACATATTGTATTTCAAAATCGAAAAACCGCTGTGTCTTTTGTGCATATGTACAGGTATGTCAGCTAAAAGAGGACACATCGAAATTTTTTTTTATTCATGAAAGTAAAAAAATATTCGATGAAAATAATGCTATTAATATTAAAGTTTCAAACTGACAATAATGCATATGTATATTCACTTCTTTAAAAAAACAACGGTAAAAAATGAATTTTTTCAGATTTTCCAGCAGTCTCATGGTCGTTGGTGTTTTATCACAAATTACGTGTTTAGTGAACAAAGTGCAGAAAATATTTTAAGGAAATGTTATATTACAGAAGAAAATAAAACGTGTCAAAAATAATAAATAAACATTGAACCCTGAAAATATTTTTTCTCAAATTTTAGTAGCATAAAAATTTAGGCGAAAAAAAAAATTGCTACTTACGATTTTTTTAATTATTTTGTTTCCTGTTAGATACATGGAACTCATTCTTGTTAGGCTAAATCCCATTAATATAGGTTCATAATTAAAAAAAATTATTCTAGTTGTCCCATTTTAGCTGACTCACCCTGTACAAATACGTTAGTTACGCGGGTTATATAAAGGATGAGTGCCACAACGGCCTTATGAACGAGTTATTTATACTATTTTTTTCTACCGCGCACGTTTTTTCGCAAAATTTAATTGAAATTTGCGTTTTTTTAAATCTGGAGAAATTTGTCGTGGTTGGTGATGGGTTGGTCTGACACTAACCACGAAATATTTGAGGTTCGAATTTTCAGAACAACTGTAATTCGAATCAATTCGAGTTTTTGTAAGTTAAAATTGGTTAAAATGTCTTGTGAAGAAGTTAGTGAAGTCCTTACGCCTCCGGAAATACGGGAAATTTTAATTTGACATGTGCCACTGGCATTCACCTGACATTTATCATCATTGCCAGCAATCTTACCGATCTAAATTACACCAGATTTATTAAAGAACGTCTTTC